TTCATGGTGTTTGATCATACCAAGTGAAATCCCAGTTCTGTCACTCTTGGTTTATGCATGCATAAACTCTTTGGAGCGCTACTGTAGTAATGGGACTTGGATTTAGTTAAAACAAGCATGTAAAACAGGCTTAATATGTATAAATAACCTAAATTATGCCTGTATGTTAAGAAAAAGACGGGAAAAAACTCAAAAAACAGGTCTTGAAATATATTTGAAAGATGAACATTTTATTCTAGTCTGATATAGATAGCAACTTGTTTGTAACCAAATCAGTGGTTGTAATTAACTAATTCATAACCATAAATAGAGGGAGGCACTTTTTGTAGCCAATTCTACTCTTTATGGTCACATTTAGACAAGTGCAGCTGTGCAGTATGTGGTGCCGCAGACATACCCAGGGGTCAAAAAACCCCAGGGTATCCAGGGGTTAACTCCCTCCTCCCCCCAAAAAAGCAGAGTGGCACATGTGGGGGCAGCACACGCTGCTCAAAACCAGAGCCTGGACAGCTGAAGCCATGGCCCAGATGTCAGCCAGGCTCCAAGCAGCAGGATTGCTGCTGCTGCAGCCCCAAGAGGCCCCCAGGTAAGGTTGTTGGAGCCAGCCCAGTACTGACCCCAGCCTTCCCTACCCCACCCAGGGGAACCTGCTGAGCACCAGAGGACGCGTGGCACAGGTGTTCCCCAGGCGCAACTAGTGACACACGGTGTCTTGCTACTAGTTGTGCCCAGGGAACCAAACATCTATGTTCGTATGGACATGGCCTATGTGTACTTAGCGCTTAATACTATGTGGACTTAGCGAGGAGTTATAAAGGAACACTCAGAGGTTGCACTCTAATATGCACCTGATAATCAGTGGAAAGGATAATGAGAAGAAAGGATGCATTATTTTTATTGCACTTATGTATAATAGGAAAACATACAATAGAATCAGGACCAGCTATTTAAAAAGTACGCAAATGCTGCCTTGATAGGATTGGTCTGTTTACATTAAATTATGTTCAGTTGTCCTACATATTATTTCTTATCAAGCACTGTCTTTTCCTTCCAAAATACAAGTTTCCAAGGAAGCTAAAATCAAATCAGATTTCAGCCAACTGCAATGGGGCATTACTCTTTGACTGGAGTTCCTACATACTACAGTAATACAAATAATGAGAACAAGGACAATGACAAGACATGGTTTAATGTATTTTAGATTGCAAAGTTTAAGTTTTAAAATACATTACCTCAAAACACCGCAGGGCTAAAGGATCAAAGGGAAGGTATATTGTACTGTGTATCCAGTTGCAGAATACCACACACTGTGGCATAAAACCTTTTCACTGTTGGAGATATTCAAAATGTGAACTAAAAAAAAGTCTTTTGTTGCCTGATCTGTACTTCCTTTCACAGCTGAATAAGGACTCTGTGTGTGGGAGTTAATTGTATTAGTTATCTTGAGAAACAACCTGATTAATTTTGTACTTCGAAGTTATTAACCACCTTACTGTACACAATTCACTGGAGAATGTATTAATTTAATCCTTATGTTCAAATACAAAGCAAACAAGAATAATCCCTTGTTTTATAATTTTTAGATAGATAACTTCTTAAATTCTTAATGATGCTTACAGGATTTTATGGAAGTCCTCACCAGAACCATTTTAACTAAGGATGGCCAGATATTTCTATTATGACCTCCTAGTCTTAGTTAATATTTAAAAATTAATTCCAGTTTATAACATGCCATAAAAACATCACTTCAAAAGCCTCCCTTTCTTTCTTTTAAAGTTTGTACAAGATCACTATGACCTCACGAGACGAACTCAAAAAATTATGTTTAATTATTTCAGAGGCTATACTTGATGACTGCAGCTGCAATTTAAAAACTTTTTTCTAAGCTAAAATATGGCAATCAATTCATGCTAGGATGAATAAGTTTCAGTATTTTAATAAACAAAGCACACAGGGGCAAGGAAATTCAGCTATGGTTTTGAGAAGCCTACAAATGCTCATACATGCAGCCCTAGAAGGCAGCATGCAAGTGGGCCAATTGGACAGCCCTGTTTTATACAAACTGAGAAACTGATGTAAAAATATCAGACACTACAAAAACAAAAGAAATGTGACAATTTTGAGAGTCATTCTTGAGAACTGAACTGTATTTTAATACTGTAATGTCAAAACCATTGGCCCAGCCATCACAGTAAATAAGACACCATAAACAGATGCTTGGTTCAAATGAAGTCTATAACTCTTATTAGGTTTAACAAAACAGAAGGAGGGAACTGCTAAGATAGCTCCTCCTTCCTAACAAACACCTGGCAAGATAAAACCATTACTGTTCAAAAAAGGGCCATAAAGTAAGAGTATTTTAAGGGAGGGCTATGCACTCATTC